TTATATTTGGAATAAAAATAATCTTTTTAACTTAAAAAAAAAAAAAGAATGATCCTAGAACTAAGATAAATGTTCAGTAAAACTTTTCTCTCTCCTGCCCTGCTATGAAGTTCACAATATGATTTCTATTGTGTGTGACCCGAATTTAATAATAAGGAGGCATCAAACAAATTCAAACTCTAAACTGGGAGAGAGTCTAGAAAATAATTGGCATCTTCAACAATGCCAAAGTCAAGCTAAGGAACCCTTCCAGATTAAAGAGGACAAAAAAGATGCAACAAAATGCAATATGTAATCCTGAACTGGATGAAAAGTTTAGCTATAAAGGATGTTCATGGTATAATTAACGTTTTTGTCTACAAAAATGTTTTAGAGTATATTTTAGAGTACAGATTAGATAACAAAATACATCAATGCTAAATTTCCTTATTTGATAAATGGAATGTAGCTATAAAAGGTCTTTACTTTTTGAAAACACACACTAATCTACAACCAGGAGATTTTAAAATAGATGAATAGGACCTTCTAAGAATCAAATCCCTATGCACATTCAAAAACTTCTCCAACAGGGTAAAAAGGGACGCCATAGACTGGGAAAAAGTATTTGATAATGACATGTCAGATAAGGGACTTATATCTAGAATTTATAAAATACTTGAGCACCACAACAAGATAAATTATCCAATTGAAAAATGGGCACAGGATATGAATAGACACTTCACCAAAGAAGACATTCAGATGGCCAACAAGCACATAAAGAAATGTTCAAAATCCCTAGCTCTAAGAGAGATGCAAATCAAAACAACTATATCATCTCACCCCAGTCAAAATGCCAAAATTTAACAGAAAAGCAAGCAACAAATGCTGGCGAGGTTGTGGAGAAACTGGAACCCTTATTCACTGTTGGTGGGTGGGAGTGTAAAATGGTGCAACCACTGTGGAAGGCAGTGTGGCACTTTCTCAAAAAGTTGTAAATAGAGATACCCTTTAACCCAGCAATTCCACTACTGGGAATATATCCCAAAGAGACCATAACTGACATCCAAGCAGATATATGCACACCCATGTTTACCACGGCTTTGTTCACAACAGCAAGGAGTTGGAAACAACC